TTTTCCTTTTTTTCTTATTGAAAATGGTTTAATAAATAAAGATAATCATTATTAAATAAATGTTAAACTTAAATACTAACCCAAGAAAAATTTAAAAATACAAATTCAATAAGACTTGCTCTAACAATTTTCCAAAACTACCAACAACAAAAAAGTATCCAGTGTTTTTTTCTTATGAAGATTATTAATAAAACAGTGTTATATGCACATTTTAACAACATGCTTTTCTTTTGCAGGTAAAGGAGACATGGCTATGTCTAACATTGTAGGATCCAATGTGTTTGATATGCTATGCCTAGGTGTTCCCTGGCTTATTAAAACTGCTTTTATAAATGAATCAGCTCCTGTAGAAGTAAACAGCAAAGGACTCACTTATATAACCATTTCTCTTAACATTTCCATTATTTTTCTTTTTTTAGCAGTTCACTTTAATGGTTGGAAATTAGACAGAAGGTTGGGAGCTGTCTGCCTGTTATTATACATTGGGCTTGCTTCATTATCAGTTCTATATGAACTTGGAATTATTGGAAATAATAAAATAAGGGGCTGTGGAGATTGATTATTCTTAATAGTGTTAATGTGGAAAATGTGAATGGTGGGGGTGGTAGAGAAGGAAAAACCCATTTCTTCATTTAAGTCAAATAAAAACATCCTAAATTTCAGAATCTAAAACTTACTTAATAGTAATTCTTTATCACCACAGAAAAGCAATTTAAAACCAACCAAAATCACATCCTAATTTGTCTGAGCCCTTTCTTTTCATGAATAATTACATATTATAAAACACAAGTTATGAAAAAACCATTTATAATTTACCGTACAATAAGTTGATAAAGGCTGGGGAAACTAGAAGAAACACTACTATGTCATACTGAAAACAACAAGAAAATGGCTTATTTCATTAAAAACAGTATAACCATTCATTTAAACTGAATGACCAGACTTGCTGTCTTTAGGAAACCCAAACTTGAGATTAACAAAAATCACAGTATATTTTTAACATTATACTGTTAAAAGCTGGTGGGAATTTTAAAAGTTCATTTTTACAGCTTTTGTAAGCATACAGTATTACTAAAAAAAATGACTTTTACTAGTAGATTCAGCAAAACAGATGAAGGAATGTTCCAACCGTGGTTTGAAATTATGCATTACGATCCAAGCGAACATCAATTTCTCTACCACTGATTTTTATGCCATTCATTATTCTGCAGGCTTTTTCAGCTGATTCTGGGGAGTCAAATCTGACCGTTCCACAACCTTTTGACTTTCCATTCTCCATTTTTATTTCTGCAAACATTACATGACCACACTGACTGAATTTCTCTTTGAGTTTCTGCCAAGTCAAGTCAAAAGGCAGATTTCTGACAAATATCTGGTTGCCTTTGGAGCCTATTCTGTCTCTCATTCCGCTTCCCATTGGCCCCGATAAAAATCCTCGATCCATATCGATGCTCCTTTCCAGTATAGCTCCTATACCTGGTCCCATTCTATCAAAGCTGGAACTCATGCGGTCTAGTCCCATCCCCATTCCTCCAGTCACACTGTTCATGCCACCCATTCCACCACTTATTCCAGATCCTACTGGACCCATGTTAGAAGCTCCTATTCTTCCTGCAAACCCTCCAATCATTGCACTGCCAAGTCTACCAAAGGAATCTCCAAAGCCTCGATTTATTCCAATATCACCACGTCCAAAATCTCGCTCCATGCTACTAGTCATCGCGCCACGGTATAGCTCTCCCATTCGGCCAACTCCACCAAATCCTCCCATGCTATTCATTGCTTCCAGACCACCAAACCCAATTCCTCCTCCAATTCTATTCATTCCTCCAAAACCTGGACCATCCATTCCCATACCACTTGGACCTAAATTTCCCATTACACCACCTATGTTCAATTGGCTACCACTAATAGGCTGTCCACCTGGACCAAGTCCCATTCCAATGCCTCCAAGACCACGTGGTAATTGTGGTGTTTTACTATCATGTGAACGGTAGTCTTCATGAGGGACAGACTTGTCATCCATTTTCACATGCATAGGTCTATCAAATAAAAACTGCCCATTGAACATAGAAATTGCTTGAACTGCTTCAATTGCTTGCTCAAAAGTGACAGTGCCCATTCCTCTGCTCTTTCCATCTTTGTCTTCTTTAATATCTGCCCGCTTTACAGTTCCAGCTATGCTGAACACTTCCTTTAGCTTCTTCCAACCAACTTTGAAGTCAAGATTAGCAACAAAAATTGTAGAACCAAGTCTACCAGCCTGCAAATTACTGATAACCTCAGGAGGAATGTTTGGATTATTGAGAATGGAAGGTGGTAAATTCATCAACCCCGATCCCATATCAGGGACATGTCCTCCTGGAAATGATCCTCCTGTTCGTTGCAATGCCCTACGAGCATTTTCTCCGTCAGGATCCTCTTTAATATTAAGGGGTCTTCCACTAAGATCATATTTGTTCATAGTTTCTAGTGCTTTCTTTACAAATTCTTCGTCTTTGAATTCAACAACACCACAACCCCTTGATTTTCCTTCCGCATCCTTAAAGAGCTCCACGTATGTAACCTCACCAACTTTTTCTCTCATTAGATCTTTAATAGCTTGCCATTTCATGTCATACGGGATGTTGCTAATGAAAACTCTGTTACGATTTGGACCCTTCTTTTCTCCAGTGCCCAAATTCCTGTCTTTTGAATAAGGATGAAATCTATTGGCCTTCTTATTTCCTGAAGATTTTTCTTTTAAGTCAGATTTTTCTTCTTTCACTGATTCATCATTCTCCATTTTAACGCCATTGGAGCTACTGCTGTGCTGCGGAGGCTGCTTCTCCGGCTCCGGGGGAGCGATTCTCGCCGCGGTTCACCCTGAGACTCTGCGGGGAGCTGATGAGGGCTGTCGTCGCCAGCGGCCCCGACCACCTCGGGCTTGTCAGCGTCCGCCATCGCGCCGCCGCTGGCTCCGCCTCGGCCGCCTGCGCTGAGGGGCTCCGAACGCGACAATGGCGGCGGCCGGGGCTAAATTTTCTTATTTTAAGTATATTTTTGCCTTGTCTCACCTTCTAGCAGATATTTATGTATGGGCTCTTATACAAGCACTCCAAATCAAGATGATGTTTTGCATCAGATTTGTTGTCCTTTTGAAAAATGGAAACTAATTTTAATAGGTTAATTGATTTCTACTTCTGATTTTTAAAAATAATTTCCTAGTCACTAATAGACATTGAATATTATTAAATATGTTTCATCTGCCTATTAATACTCATCAGTTTCTGTTCATTATGTGACAAATTACATTGGTAGATACAACAAATTCTGGCCATCATTGAAAAAGCCCTTGTCTGAGATATATATATATATATATATATATATATATATATATATATATATATATATATAATATTGTTAAATATACAACTGAAACAGACGGTTGAATTACTTATGCTTCATATTTCATAGGGTGCTATAACTATTGATCCCTGCAATGTTTTGTGTTAATTAATTCATCTTTATTTATGTTTTCTGGCATATAATTTTCTTTCCATATGACACCTAAGATCAAGGTTATAATAATTTCATAAAATTGGGTTCCTTTGCTTCTGTTAAGCTGTGTATATAAGATAAGGAATATTTATTTCATTAAATTATAAAAGAAATCTCTGCAAAATATATAGAAGTTGGTAACTGTTTTTATACTTTGGTTAGTTTTGTTACTTTATATATTTCTGTGTGTTTACATAATTATATGGAAATATTAACTTATATTTTAAAATCATAAATTAAAAAGTATAGAAATTATATTTTTTATATTATGTGCAGTTGTATGAGAAGCTCCTTACTACTTACTCATGGGAGAGTTTGCTATTTTGTTCTATTCAAGCATTCAATTTAGGTAAGAGCTACCACAATAAAGATGTTGATCTTATACCCAGCTACTTTACAGTTAACATTTTTTTCTTTTTTATTATTTTAATTGACAGATAAAATTGTATTTCTTTCTTTCTTTCTTTCTTTATTATGTACAACAAGTTTTGAAGTATGTATGCATTATGGAATAATAAAATCTTATTAATTAACATATGTATTACCTCTCATATTTATCATTTTTGTTGTGAAAACACATACTATCCACTGTCCCAGAATTTTTCAAGTTAAGCTATATGATTATTGACTATAGCTAACATGAAGTACAACAGAACTTTTAAAATTGTTACTCTTAACTGAGATTTTGTCTCCTTTGACCAAAATCTCTCCATCAACCCTCCCACAACCACCTCAGACCCAGGTAAGCACCATTCTGCAGTTCGATGGGAAATAATTTTAGATCGTACTTACAAGTAAAGTCATGGTGTTTGTCTTTCTGTGCATGGTTTTAATTTAATAACATCATGCCTTCCATGTTTATGTATCTTCTCACAAAGACCAGGATTCTCTTTAGTTTAATGATTGAATATTATTCTATTGTGTGTATGTACCATTTCTTTATCCATTCATCTATTAATGGATCCTAAGATTGATTCTTTACTTTGGCTATTTTAAATAATGCTGCAATGAAAATTAGAGTACAGATGTCTCTTAGACATACTTATTTCATTCCTTTGGGATATATAGCCAATAGGGATTGCTGGATATGTGGTATTTCTAATTTTAACTTTTTGAAGAACCTCCATACTGCTTGTTATAATGGCTGTACTAATTTAAATAGTCACTAACAGCGTGCAATTTTCCCTTTTCTCTACATCCTCACCAAAACTGTTATCTCTTCCTTTCTCCAGAGAAGGTATTCTATCAGATATAACTAATATATATATTGTGGTTCTAATTTGTATTTTTTTGTGTATGTATTGGCCATTTATTTGCCCTCTCTTGAGAACTATCATATAATACCTTAACTTGTTTTACAAGTAGTGTTGTTTTCTTGCTCCTATGTTTTCTCTATATTTTGGATATTAACCCCTTATCAGATGAATTGTTTACAAATATTCTCTCCAATTTTGCAGGTTTTTTTTTTATTCCCTCTATTGACTGTTTTCTTTCCTGTGCAGAAGCTTCCTCCTTTTACTTAATCTCTTTCTGTATACAGAATGGGTGTCAGTGGAGAGGTCAATACAAGGCATTTGGGAGTTGTAAACCCACAGGTGGCAGTAAAACTATGCAAGGATGATCAAACAGGATGTTCATGGAGTAGCATTTGGCATATAATAAGTTCTAAAAATTACTTATTTAAAAATAGCCCTAAAGACAAGAATAGCACCATATATAGAGGAAAAGAAAATACCAACAGAGAAGGGAGGTACATGCTACATGGTGTCCTTTATGTAATGTTTTCTGTGGACCTACACATATATAGTAAAAGTATAATAGAATACAAGGCAGGTGAGTATCAAAATAGTTTAATGAGTGATTAACTATTGCTAGCAAGGAGGATAAAGCATAGCTATACCAAAAACGTCAACAATATCAATAATTATTTATTTGTGTTCTTAAATACAACCTTGAAACAACAGGAAATATATTTTAATATTGTATAGACTTGGTTAGTGAGTCCATAAATATATAGTTGAAATTTTTCCTTCTGAATTTTATTAAAGAGTAACTGGAATATGAAGAATTGATTAAGAAACTGTGGACTGCACTTTCTAAACTTTGGCTATAAAGAAAAAAGAAGAGCAAGAGTTAGACAACAAGTTTTTCTTTTTAAAAGACAAGAGATATTTTGGCATTTTGTGGATTTAAGAAAAGAGAAGATAAAGAGTTTTGAAACATGAACATTAAGAGATACCTCAGCAATACAGATGTGAAATAAAAAACATGAGAAAAAAATTAACTTATCTGATGTTTTCCCTTCAAATTTTATTACAATGGAGGTACAACTTTTTTATTTTTAATATATTCCTTCTGCTACTAAAAGCATAAACTCATTTTGTCTAGTTCCACATTATAAAAAAGAGCTAAGAGGATAATATTATATTTATTAGATGACATCATTCAAGAAATTATAATAAGATAAAGTCAAATAATCATTTTTTTCTCAGAGGAAATCAGTTACCATGAGACTTCTTTTTATTTCACAAACTGAAGTGCATTTATATATTTTGAAGCATCACCACATAGTTGAAGTATCCACTTGTACTCTATCATTACCAAAACACACTGGAAAGAGAACACCTGCAGGGGAAAAAAGGAAAGGAAACGGCATTACACAACATATAATTTTATACTTTTGAATACTGAAGACCATTGAAAAGATGATATAATTGAAATAATGAAAGCATGCCAGAATGGCGAAAGAGAAGTCTCCATTTATAATATTGACTTTCTGAAGGACTTCAAGCTTTGTTATCTCAGGTAAAATATAATGGCCTTTCATCTGCTCTGTATGATAGCACATATTGCAATTCTGTGAGATGAAAATTCTTTTAAACTTTTTGGCAACTTATTTGGAAGTAACTGCATTTTATTTGTTGGACTTGTCCCTCAGGTCTCTCCATTTGATTGCAGAGGACATGAAATATTTTACTGAGATGCCTTTTCAGTTTTAAGGTCAGCATTAATGTGCAAGAACAATTAATGGAATTGAGGGAATGATGAACATAATAAAAAATAGTATTTAAAAAAATTAGGATCATTGGTGAAAGCAGACATACATCCCTCTCTTGATAATAGAAAGTCTCTTTTAAAAATGCAGAATTTATTGAAATCATAAATCAGAGATCACATATTGTTAGGGCAAACTTCCCAAATATGGAGTATACAGCTGCCATTATGATTAATTCCCCTACCACAAACTACTTGCTATTTATTTATTTATTGCAAATGCTCTCCCCTTGATACTTCTCTAATTCCCTCCTTCAATCCTAGCACTGATCATCCACCTATGTCAGTGCTAAGCTGCTCTAGAATCCTTTTGAACTTCTGAATCCCAGGGATTGATCCCATTGCTTGTTTCCAATGAGTTATATGCTTTGGCATTAGCTAAAATCTTAAATGTGGGCAAGACAGTGTTCCCAGTCAGATAATTGTAGTCACAATGTGTTGGCTGCACTTACAACAGCATTGGGATTTAAATATCGCCTTTCTTCTTTAAAGAAGCAAAGCTGGAGCTTAATTGGCAGAATTACGAACTAGACAAAAATAATCCATGACACCTCCCATCTTGCATATACTGACTCCCTTTAACTCTCCTATTAGCTCCTGCCTTCAGTCTCTTTTTCATTCCATCTCTCAGGCAACAAATTTCAGTTTCAGTCAAGTCTTTTTTTTGCATTGAAAAATCATCTCATTGTTTTCAAATGCAATATTTACTAGTCTATGTGACATACCAGAAATGTCTGTCACACTTTCAATAAAGAATTTTAAACTCCATTGAGAAAGAAATTTCTATTTGGCAAACTTTTAGATACTTCTGAAATGATACAGAGAGTTGGTAATTATATGAATTGATAAGAAGATATTGACCTCTAAAGTATAATCCCTAGGATTAGTAGCATTCACTAACTATTAATAAGAATTGTAATGACATATGTTGGACATTTATCATGTTGTAGATCTGATCTCAGTCTGCAGATCAAATATCAGTATCTTCTTCTTATTGATGAGAAAGTTAAGATGTTAAGCAGTTTATAAACTTGTCCACTGTCACCTGAATAAAGTAGCAGATGCAATTTTTTATATAATGAAGCTACCATTATAAAGAATGACACTTAGACTTGGTTGACTAAGAGAAAATTAGATCTGTGGTGAATTCATATTACTGTTTCTGTTTTTGGATATTCAAGCAAGCATCATACACACTCCAATTAATGACAAGACTTGCTGAGGGTACAGGTTTGCAGATTCTACCAGCAGCCCAGCAGGCTTTACAAATGAGTGGCTCTTTGGCATTTGGTGCTGTGGCAGATTTGCAAACACGACTTTCCCAACAGACTGAAGCTTCAGCTTTAGCTGCAGCTGCCTCTGTTCAGCCACTTGCAATACAGTGTTTCCAACACTCCAACATGTTTAACCCTCAA